CGAGGCCCGAACCGTTGGCGCACGAGTCCCCGCACGCCCTTCGGTGCGGCCAATGGGGCCTCGAGTTCCCGCCGCGTGGTGGCCGACGGGGCACGAGCTTTGCCCTCCCCCTCAGCGGGGCGCACGCCTGCCGCGGTGATGGCAGGCCACTGGGCCACCTTCGCGGGCCTTCCAGAAGCGGCCCCTCTCTGTAGGGTCCCCTGGAAGGCACACACCAGGGAATTGTGGTTCCTGAGGAGAAAGAGGCCCAGTTTACCTCAGCAAGATGGCAGGGTGGCCCCGGGGGATTCAGAACGGAGAGTGCGCTTAGATGATACAGCCGAGTGGTTCCTGAGAACAGGGTACACACACCACAGTCTTTCCTAACAGTCGAATCGCTGCTCTCTCCAAATAAAAATGATGGGGAAGGGTTTAGGTACAGTAACCAGAGTACGTGAATTCATTTTGTAATACAATACCATTGTTGTATCTTTAAAAAAAAAAAAAAAAGCTCAAGAAAACTCGACTTCAAATTAGATGAGGCCCACGATACCTGGCAATAGGGAATAAAGAGAACAAATTTTTGTGCTTGCTGACCAGCTGTGGTCTCCCAGAAATGAAAGAAACGACCCTCACTTGAAAGGGGACAGAATCCTATAGAACAAATCCCGTATGCAGCCAACTAACCCAAATACGAGAGGGACTCCGAGGAGTGCAGTTTGATTTTGCCGTATAGCCCAGTCTGACCTCAAACTTGCCGTCACCCTCCTGCCTTCAGCTCCTGACTCAGCGCCCAACAGTCAAAGCACTGAATTTTCTTAGGAATTCGAGTGAAGGGCTAGGAATCTAGTCCAGTGGTGCTTTATCCATGAAGCCACAGGTTCATTCCCGGTACCAATGAACTAAAAAAAAATTGAAAGAGCCAACAAAGCAGCACTAATATAGAGATTTTATTTAAACTGTATTGAGTTTTTACAGCACATTGCATGTTTGTCACAACGCAACTGCACAGTTTGGATTTTTGGCCACATCATGTCACTTACACCCACAACAGTTCTGAAAGGATGAACACATCTGAGCAAGAAGCCCAGGGTCTCTCTCTAAGGCTATGCAATTTGTTCACTGATGGGACAGTCCCTCAAAACAGTCACACAAAGTAGACAGATACAGTCTCCCAGAATGTTACCGATCCCCCTGAAAACAGAGTGAAGTGCAATGAAAATCGGTAACTAAAAAGCCACGTGACTGGCAGTCAATTTTAATGATTGAGAAAATGTTGAAAATATTTTTATGTATCAGAGACAAATAATTTGTCACTCTTTCATTGATCTTAGGAATTTCTCAGACACAAAATCTCCATTATTCAGCTCCATTTAAATGAAAAAAAAATCTGCTAGGCTGACCTAAATATGCCAAAACTTTTTAGGTTACTCCATGGCATTTATACAAGGAGCACAGATGCTTTGCTGCAGAACTGAGGAAAAGGTCAGGACAGTAATTCCCATTCTAAATGCAGATTCTGGTTAGTTTGGAATGGAAAAAAAATGTTTTCTAGAAAGCAACAAGACAGTAGTAGCGAGAAAGACAACTGCTGTCGCTTTAACAGAGTAAGCAACCTCTGCTTCCTACAAGAACAAAGTAAGGAAAACAGAGATAGGAAGTCCTCATGCTCTCACCGTGGGCCTAGGAGACTGTATCTGCTCCAACCAAGCACATGGCTACAGTACTGTATCTTTTGGTTAAGTGCCGCTGGCACATAGTAAGATGAAAAACAAAATCAAAATCAAACACGACAAAATGTTTGGTCCGAATGGACACATCATCACTCCCAATTTTGGTATCAAGGCTTTCTTCTTTCTGTTTGGGTTCCATTGTTAAGTGCACAGAAATAGACAGCAGCATTTGTACTGAAACCCTCACATACCAAATAGCAGATGCTAGGAGGTAAAAACCAAATGCTATATTCTACCCTCAAGGTGTCAAGTGTTCAGGATAAGAAGCAGTGTGACCCAGAGGAGGCAGCAGCCAAGGGAAAGACAACATGGGGGAGTGGGCAGGGGAACAACAAAATCCTTTGCTTTATTTTCATGCCAGGGGAGGATCAAGGTGTAGCTCCCGTGTTAGCACCAGGACAACTGGGAAAAGTCAGGTGCAAAGGGTAGGGCACAATCAGCAGAATTTCACAAGGATATTTTGCTTTTCCCTTCTCTTTCTTCAGTGCGCACACACCTCAAGAGCAGCCACTGCAGAACAGAGTGACAACTGCCTTCACAGCTCAAAATAACTGGTTTTCGCCAAGACTAAACGTCACCAGAGTTTTCCTCTGTTTCCAAAAATGTCTTAATCTTTAGAACTGTCCCTCTAAAAACTGATTATTCGCTGACGCTGGCCACTGAGCCAGGTAAAAAATACATCAATGCCTCCATTGGCCGAACCAGTCTTTGAACCAAACGCCACAGAGGACAGTACTAATGCAACTAGAGGGAGTGCCTCTAAAAGACTGAGCCTTCATGCACAGACACAGGGCACAGAGGTACAGAACAGAGTTCTTCTCGAATAGGATGGAAATTCCTATCTTGTATACTATGATCTGCTCTTTTCAAGGTGGAGGAGAGATGGGTCTCATTATCACTTGGAGTTTGGTTGTAAGGATGCCTTTCTATTGCTGTTTGGGCACTTTGCACCAGGCAGTATTTATGAAATCATCATCTTGTGACCTCCAGGAGAGAAGCTGGAGTCACCAACTCAGAGTGAAGCTTCCAGACCTGGGTCTGGATCAGGACCATTACCCCAAAGTGAGGGTCTCTCCAGTAGAAAATCTCCCGCCAAATTCAAATTCCTCTGCTCCAGTCACATGGTACCAAGGAGGATTTCTCAAGACGGTATCTTTGAGCTCTGTGTTCATGAGCCATACCAAGGAACCTTCCAGACTACACCTGAAGCAGATCCTCCCTTCAAACCTGCTAAAAACAGACAGATCATCTCCTCTGGCATTCAGCTGGAAGCCGTAGCAATGGGTTTCTTCAGGTGTTGGCTCATGAGTTCCCTGGCACGAGATACTTGAATGTGTTCATAACATGAGTTACAGACGAGAACTGGGTCATAGAGTTGCTGATCAGGAATGGGCAGCTTAAGGTGGCAGCATCCAGCACAAAACACGTTCCCACAATTTCTGCCAAAGTACAAACAGGGAGAAACTAATGAGAAATATCAGTGTCCTGAGAATGAATGCTGGTCTAAAAGGGTTTCCAGAAATAAATAAAAAGGTTGGGCATAAACAAAAATACTATTAAGATATCTCCAATTTCAATTAATTTTGTTCTATACAAAGAACCCTGTAGTGAAAAGGAAAAAAACAAAATGAAACTTACCTGCAATGATGTCTTCGTTTGGCCAACCAGAATTCACAGTCACAGTTATAGCAGTGTGAGGCCATATGGTCTGGAACCCAGCGAGTCACCTACCAGAAGGCACAAGGGACAATTGCAGGTCCATGTCCAAAAAGGAGAACAACATTGCAATCAGGAAAGTAGCCCAGGAAAAAAGTGACCATGACAACGGTCTGTAGCTTTGGAGCCTGTCCGGGAACAAGCTCTTTTTATTCTTTTTCTTTTTCTTTTTTTTTTTTTTGGTTTTTTGAGACAAGGTTTCTCTGTGTTGCTTTGAATCCTATCCTGGAACTAGCTTTTGTAGACCAGGCTGGCTTCAAACTCACAGAGATCCACCTGCCTCTACCTCCCGAGTGCTGGGATTAAAAGCGTGTACCACCACTGCCCCACGACCAAGATGGTCTTTATGACTGGCCATTACTAGCCTACAAGGATGATATTTATTGGGGGCGGGGAGTGTTCCAGGCCACAGCGCATCCTCATCTCTGAGAAAGGGAGCTCACTGCTGCACATACCTCAGTCTCCTTCTTATCGACCGGCTCCCAACTGGCTTCTGAAAGGCAGTCTTCACTGTGCTCAGAGCCGAAGTCTTCAGTGTCACTGCTGTCTGACTCCTTTAAACACGTCTGCAGCATAGGCAAAGACAGCAACTCACTTCTGCAGCACTAGCACTACCGTTATCAGGCACTGTTCTAAGTATTACATGCAAAAACTTAATTCCTCACAATAATCGTACATTTTATTAGTATTATCCTCATGGCACAAAATAAAGAAACTGAGGCACAGAGAACTAGAGTTGGTAAGTGGTAAAGCTAATGTTTGATCCCAGTATTCTGGCACAGAACCATCATGTTAACCAGTACGTGGTACAGCATAGAAAGACTTTATTTTCTTGCTATACCCTAAGCTAAGTGTTGCCAAACCAGAAGCCCAGTCTATCCTGGAGCATAGCCATATTCACTCATTTACATATAACCTATGGCTGCTTCTGTGTTACCATGGTCACATAATAATTGTCTCAGAGACTGTTTGCCCCACACAATCTAAAAACATTTACCGTCTGGCCATTACAAATAGAAGTTGGTTGAGTATTTAAAGCACCACTATGAACTGTTAGTCCTGTCTGTTCTATCAGCAGACAACTGGGGACACTTTTACTGATGAAAGGGAAACATCCATGCAGACAGCAAGGACAAGACAGCTTCAAGAAGCTCCCTGAGGACTGCAACGTCAGAATCTAAGACAGTGAGGGCAGTAAAGCCTGGATGGCCATCCTTATGTATGACCTGGCTTGTTTTCAGAAGTATCAACTAAGACAGGAATAGTGGCGCAAGCCTTTAATTCCAGCACTTGGGAGGCAAAGGCAGGAGGATCTCAGATTGAGACCAGCTTGGTCTACAAAGCGAGTTCCAGGACAGCCAGAGCTACATTGAGAAACCCTGTCTCATATAAATAAACAAAAATACAATAAAATGTCCTAACCAGCCTCCCACTCTGGGTCTCATTTGCATCAAAAGGTACTCAAGTGGATCCTCCATCAGTTCTCCCGGTACCACTCATTTATACCACCTCTCTCTCAGTCCTAGCACAAAAAGTGTATGCCAGTATACACACATCTGCCCACATACACCCCACCCCTTCAGTAGGCCAGGCCAACTGGAACACCTGATGCCTCCATGCTTCCGAACATGGACTCCCCCTTTCACTGTCCACCAAGCTAAACATCACACATTCTTTAGCGGTCAGCATAAGATCTCAGGAGAGCCTTCCTTGACCTTTTTCCTCCACTCTACCTCCATAAAACCTGGTGCCTAACACTCAAAAACATCACTCTGCTTGCTTGTCTTTCATACTGAAGGGAGTGCAAACAGGCAGTACTCATCAGGTGAAGGGAGGGTGGCAGCTGGTGGATACTCACAAAGTCATCCTCATAGTCCATGGGTGGCTCTGCCGGAGGGGCACAGCAGTGACGGATGTCTAGCCTCATCTGGAGCTCTCGAACCTGTCGACGGAGCTGCTCTACCTCTTGCTTGTACCCTGCTTCGATCTGCCGTAACCTATGTTGGATCACATCCGTGGGAAAGGGGAGTCCATCGTCATCCAGGTAGAGAGGAGGCACAGGAGAAGGGCAGCTCAGAAGAGAAGGCTTTGTGCTGGAGACTTGCTTTGGATGACTGGACAACCACATCCGGTTGTTCTTTCCTCCTGGGCCTGTACAATGTCCACTGGAATGACTAGAACAGACAGGTGACTTCATCCCTTCTCTCTGAGCCCACTGGCCCCCAAAGCAGGGCCCTGCAGCTCGAATATGCTTATTGCTCGGCCTCTTGCTGCAACAGCCATAAGCAAGTAGTCGCCGAGGAGTGGTCTCTCCACTCGGGAATGAAGTCATCATCCCTTGGAAGCTGTCCCAGTTTGACCCTAAAAATGAGAACTCACTGATCTGGCTCTGAGAAATTGGCTTTCGGGCCAACTCCAATGGTATTTTCCCAAAGCGGGGATTTTCTAGTATTTGTCCATTCTTACTTGCTCTCTTGCCAGCATCTTCCTTCTTGTGGATCAGACCCGGCACTGAACTAGGCTGTTCCTGGTGGGAGATACTTGTCAGAGACCCAGGAGGATCTTGGTGTAGGAGGTCAGTATTTGGCTCTTGATGAGTTTGGCTGGTAGCACTTGGTGGGTTATGAAGGCTACCCTGATTGTGATCTAGAGTACACCTGCTGAGCGTGGCCTGCATGGAGTCTAGGTGGGCCTGGTGGGGAGGGCCTGTAAGGGAATCCTGGGAAGGCTCAGGAAGATCACAGGCTCCGCCACACTTGTTGGAACCATTAGAGAGTGCACTGGGTGTGCCGGGAGCTTCCTTTTCTGGACTCTGTTCAGGTGGCTTCCCTAAGCCGTCAGAAGTCCTTTGCTCCTCTGGGGCTGGAGGGCCTGGGGCCAGCACCTTAGTCTCTTCCAGGACTCTGGCCTCAGAGGCGTTGCTCCTCATTTCCCGGGGCGCAGAAGCATTACGTAATTGATAACTGAGAGAACAGCTCCTGTGGCCCTTGAAAGGTTTACCGCTCAGGTAGTCTTTCTGGCTGCTGGGCAGAGGAGGAGGAAGGCCCAGTTCTCCCACAGTCAGCTGTGGACCTCCTACCCCCGACTCCACATAGCTTGGCTCTGCTCCTTCAGGATTGCTGTGCCAGGGCTCCAGGCTGACTCTCGCCTCCTGACAGTGGTTATTCAGGTTAGGGTCACTAGAAGTACGAGTGAGGGGACTGCTTGTGTCACAGGCAGAAAGAAGATCATCCATGGATCTGGTTTTAGGTAATCTGAAATGACAAACATAGAATGTCCAGGTCAAGAAATGGGAGACACTTCCAATGTACACAATCAGGTCAAAATCAATGTTAACAAGACATTTAATATTACAAATACCTACTGATGATTCTAAGTCCAATACTGTAGCCAGTACAACACCTAACGTCAAACCAGTATCTCACTGTCTCTATCAAAGTCAGACAAAAACTACGGGTTATGGAGTTAAAGGACATTGGCTCTCATATTAACTATCAAAAATGCACTGTTTAGCCTCTTAGGTACTTGGTTATCACCTCTACAGAATGTTAATATTATACCTTAGAGATGCCTGAAGGTTTCAGAATTTAGGGAACCAACCACAAATTATTAGTCACGTATCAAGAAGACATGACTTTTCAACACACATTTCTGCACTCAGTAGCAGTGTGTCCCTTCAACTCTCTAAACTCCATAGAAACTTCTAGTAGACGTCACTCAAAAACTCAAGAAGCACTCCTATTCACCAAATGGGTGATAGGCATTTCTAAGAATGGCTGTTTTTGATTTTTACTGCAAAACAAAATCCTTTGAGCAATAGAAATTTCAGGAAATTGTCCAGAAAGCAGACATTTCACTAGGCACTTCTCAGATGCCATAATCAACTCATACGGAAAATCCGCCAAAGGCCAATTTATAATATAGCTTATTCTAAGTACTTAGTTTTGATATTTATCATAATACATAGACTATTTTTATATTTAATTTTATTTTTGTGATCAACTTTGTATGTGACCGATGAGCACACACATGTATGTGTACATGTGTCAATAATGGGAGTCTTCTTCCTCAATCATTTTCCAACTTAATTTTGAGACAAGGTCTCCCACTAAACCTGAAGCTTGCCAATTTGGCTAGACTGGCCAACAAGCTTCTCAGAACCAGGATTACAAGCACATGGCACAAGTCTCTGCACTTGGCATTTTACATGAGATCTCACTCATAGCCAGGGCTCAAATCCCAGCTTTGGAACTTATCAACTTAACTTCTCTGAGCCTCAGTTCCCTCGCTTATGGAAGAAAGAGTAAAGTGCCTACATCTTAAAGCCATAGTGAGATTTGAAGACATAATCCATATCAAACATGCTTGTGTCACAGGCAGAAAGATCCATCCATGCTCAGTGGTTTCTAAAGCACAGTACTCACCTACTATTTCCTTGTTTATTTCCCTCTACCAAAGTGCCGTGAGGTCAGGCAGGCCTATGTCTCACTTAAGTACCCAACATCTAGCACAGTACTGGGTAAACTAAGAAATGAACAAGCTGGGTGGTGGTGGCACACATTTTTAATCCCAGCACTAAGGAGGCAGAGTTCAAGGCCTGCCTGATCCACAGAGCTAGCTGCAAGATAGCCAAGGCTATACAAAGAAACCCTGTCTTAAAATCACACCCCACTCCCCTCAAAAAGAAGAAAAGAAAAAAGAAATGAACAAATAAGCTTTAAGTTTAAATCAAGTTTCCACGAGCAGGACTTCAATTGAATAGATTAGATCAGCAGGGATCAATAATCATATGTACATTATGGTATACATCAGATCGTCTAGGGTCTACCCAAAACTGATGACTTGAGAATGGCTAAGAGTAAGGCCTAAATAACTATAGTGCCATTCCCCCACCCACGTGTGCATTATTTTTTTTCTTGGTGGAGCTGGGGATTATACCCATAGCCTTATGAATATGCTCTATCACTGAGCTACACCCCCAGCCCTGCACAGAGTACTGTACTTTTAAAAGTTACAACCGAATTTGTCTTTTCTTGATTTATTTTTTATTATCTATCTATCTATCTATCTACCTATCGGTTTTTCGAGACAGGGTTTCTTTGTAGCTTTGGAGTCTGTCCTGGAACTAGCTCTTGTAGGTCAGGTTGGCCTCGAACTCACAGAGATCCCCCTGCCTCTTGAGTGCTGGGATTAAAGGTATGCGCCACCACCGTCTGGCACTTTATTTTTTTATTACAAAACCGTCAACTATAAATGAGTGACTCCAATGCACCCCTTGAAATTCAAATATTAACAGTGCCAACCTTCATAGCAGATTCACATGTGCCCCAAAGGTTTAACCAATAATAATGATATAGGCAAGCAGTTCTCAACCCATAGGTCTCAATCCCTTTGAGGGGGAGTCAAATGATCCGTTCAAGGGGGTTGCCTAAGACCACTGGAAATCACAGATATTTACATTATGATAACAGTAGCAAAATTAAGTTATAAAGTTGCAAGGAAAATAATTGTATGGTTGGGGGGTCACTACAACATGAGGAACTGTATGAAAGGGTTGTGACATTAGGAAGGCTGAGAACCACTGGGATAGATAACAACGCCTGAGGACTTTAGAAGGAGAAAAGGGCTAAGCCAGCCCACATGGCCAGGAAAGACTACACAGAAAGCATATACTTGAACCAGGTATAAAATCATTTGCTGGACTTTAGTAGAAGAAAGACATGAGGAAGATATCATTGGTCTGGGAAAGGTATAACCAAAAGAGTCAAGTTGTTAGAGAAATGTTTCCTTTAAATCCTTACATCAGTTAGTCCTCTAAATGCAGCTCTCTCCATCTGGGGCTGCCCAATACACCTCCTCTCTGCTATCAACCAACATTCCGATCTCATCCTCCCTGTGTCTCTTCTCTCTCTGCAAACTGCCTTGTCCTCCCCATTTTTCCTTGACGACTGGTGGTATGAACATTCTCCTCATCTCATCTCTAAACTTTAAGACTTGTAAACCATCTTTGACTCTGAAGAGACTTTAGATCCTCTGTATGTTTATTCTCTACATTTTTATTCTCCAACTTTCAGCCATTTCCACAGTCTACTAAAAATGTCTCTATCACATTTCTAAATATATTTCCAAGGACTTTTTTTTTCTTTTTCTTTTTGAGAAAGGGTTTCTTTGTGTAGTCCTGGCTCTCCTGGAACTCGCTTTGTTTACCAGGCTGGCCTCGAACTCACAGAGATCCATCCACCTCTGCTGGGATTAAAAGTGTGCCCCAACAAGGCCCATCCAGCAACTTTTTATAAAGGAATTACACTATAAGCAGAGCTGGCTAGTCCCCGTGCCTCTACCAAACTTAAGTGGTAAACTCTTCAGATATACCATTGCTAGTAGGTCATAATCACTGCTTATGCTATTATGCTATCTTACCACTGACAACTGAATCAAATGCAGTTGGAGAGATGATTCAGTGGTTAAGAGCACTTGCTCTCTTGCAGAAGACCTGGGTTTGTTTTCCAGCACACACAGTATAGCTTACTACCTCCTGTAACTTCAATTCTACGAAATCTGAAGCCCTCTTCTGACTTCCTCAGGAACCAGGCATGAACACAGAACACAGACGTGTGTAGGCAAACCATCCATATACATAAAATAAAAATATTTTTAATTTATAAAATAAACTGCACTGTAATGCCGACAACTGTACTACTGTATAATTGTAGTATTGTAGAGCCTACAGTAACTTGTGTTTCTTTCTACTCCCTTTGTCTTTAATCCTAGCACTCAGGAGGCACAGGCAGGAAAATCTGTGAGTTCCAGGCCAGCTAGGGCTACATAGCAAGATGCCCTATCTCAAAATAACAAAATAATATCCTCCTCACCCTCTACCAATTCCAGAGTTAATTTTGTTTCTTTTGTTTTCCTCAAAGCTATCTCTCATATCTGTTTCTTTGTTTTTCTCCCATAATACTTTTTCTACACTCATAATTATCTTTATCCTAAGCATATATTTGTCCACTTAAAAATCTGTTCGAATGCTTATTATGGCCCAGTGTGATGGCATAACTATAATCCTGGCATTTGGGAGACTAAAGCATCAAGGGTTCTGGTCCAGCGCCAGTACACAGAAGACCCCATCTCAAAACAAAACCACATCTGGGACACAGAAACAGCCACGGTGCCTGCCTGATCCTTCATAAAAATTTCCTATGTAAAACAGCCCCAAAGGATTCTTCAAAAAATTCTTCATAGTTTGAGAAAAGAGAAAAGCATTGAAATCTACCCCATGACAATGGACTTGGCTCAAAAGACCCTAAAATAAGAAATATAAGAAATCTGAGTTCTTTGTTAGACTTTATAGTATTCAGTCAGTAGACTGGAACTTCAAAAAGCTTCAGCCAATAGTCAAAGATCAAAATTTGTACTATACAAATTTTGGAGCACATGCCTGTAATTCCAGCATTTAGGAGCTTGATGCAGGAGGCTCATGAGTTTAAGGCCAGCCTTTACTAAATAATGACATAGTGAGACTATCTTAGATAAAACGTACATATCCTTTGAACTTCTGTTTCTAGAAATTAAAATTTCTGGCAGAAACATGAGCACAATACGATAATACTCTCCACAGTCCCCAGTTGAACTGTGAACTTAAAATTGGCTTAGATGGCAGGCAGTATGTATGTTTTACACACAAGCAGATGCTCACTAAAATAGTCCCTGTAAAATAATCTTGAAATGATCAAAAAGGGGTAGAGCAGGTACACAAATAACTTAACTTTGGACTATTCTGAAGTCACGGAAAACAGTGAAATGGGGCTAGGTCTGTAACCAAGTGTGGAGCACTTGCCTAGCATGCACAAGGCTTGAATTCTAGCATTACAAAAAAATAATACTAAGAAGGAAATAAAAACAACAAAATAGCTTTATATGTGTTGTCATGGAATGACAGCCCGACACAAAATGAGAACAACTTCTTAAGCAGTATACAAAAACTGGGGAGTTAAGCCGGGCGGTGGTGCTGCACGCCTTTAATCCCAGCACTCGGGAGGCAAAGGCAGAGGTAGTGAGTTCGAGGCCAGCCTGTAGAGTTATTTCTAAAACAACCAAGGCTACACAAAGAAGCCCTGCCTTGAAAAACTGACAGAGAGACAAGACAGACAGACAGACAGACAGACAGACAGACAAAAGGAAGCTTTGAGGTGAAAAGGACAAGGAAGCAATTCCTGCTTTCCTTGTGAAGAGAGGAGAAACAATTATTTCTCACCTGTCCAGAGAACGGCCAGAAAATTCCTGGCTCTGAGCCACTGGGGAAAGGTAAAGATCCATATTTTCCTCTCCAAGTGTGCATGGAGACGATGCAGGCAGATAAACAGCTGTCCAGAGGTGCAGGGCCCGGACATGACACACAGGATGCAGGACCTAAAAAGCAGCCCAGTGTTAGTGTTCTATGAGAGCCCTTATTCGTCTTCTTTCCCTGAATATTTGGCTCTACACTTCTCACTGACTCAGCCTCCTCTCCTCCCCTCCCCTCCCCTCGGCTCTCCTTTTCTCCCCTATAGAACTTCCAGCAGGAAAAGGGCTCAGCCTTACCATGTCCGAACCAGGTGTATAGAGGAAATTATGAAAGTTCTTGTTGCCAGCTCGCAGGAGTGCCCACACAGAGCATGTTCGCTTATAGATGTTGCGTTTCTCTCGCTCAGAGGGGTTGTTGGCCAGGAATGTGCCATAGAGACAGGAGTATGTGTGTTGTACCAGTTTTACCTAGGAAGCCCAGACAGTGTGAACCTGAGGGCCTTCGGATACCATTCTCCAACCCTGTCCACAGGCTTTAGGACTTACCAGAAATGCTTCATTGAATTCAAACAGGCAAGGGAACTGCTTAAGCAGCTGATGAACAGAATCAAGCCACTGGAGGAACACAGGACACTGTTCATTTTGGTCCTCTGCATTTTCCTGATGGCCACAGCGATCTCCAAACTTGTGCCCAAAATCCAGCCAATCAGACTCCACTAACACTTGGAAGCCCTGTAAAATGGCCAGTCTCAGCACAAGGCAACTCTGGAAGGACTAGGGTCCAGTTTTCTAGGGGACTGTCCAAGGCCGGGAGCTGGCAGCCACAAAAGTCAAACCCTGAACGAGGACTCAAAGCACCAATGTCCTCTACTGAGACATTCCCGGCACACTCCCAGAAAGCCTGAATCATCCATCCCTCTTCCCTCCTTTCCTTTGTCCTTCCAAATCCCTTCTCAGTACCTCCAGGGTCCTGTAATATGGATCCAGTAATATTTTGGCCAGGGCTACAATCTGTGGCGTACGGTCCCAGCCATCAGAGCAGTGCACCAGCACAGGCCGGCCTTCCCGATCTACTGTATTAGCTACCAGCACAGCCGCTTTTAGCATCACTGACAAGTGCTGCAGCCATTTGGTACTTTCCAGAGCCGACAACCAGCTGTGCAAGAGCAGAGAGAAACAGAATCAATAAGGATTGGGGACTACCACAATGTCTCTGCCTCCTCAGCCAGCTCTACCCCACAAAAGCCCCACGGAGGACTGAAACCAAGAAGTCTGACTCATGACCTTTCTGCCAAGAGGTATTTGGTAGAAAGGTAGGGACAGGAGACACAGAAGGAGCTTCTTAGACTCAAAGGGGGAATTGTGAAGTATCACCTGCATACTTAGCCACACTTCTCCCCAGTTCTCTATTTTCTTTGGTAGAATAGTGATCTCAGAAAAAAGAATCCAATGGCCTATGACCATGCCAAAGTGTCACTCAAGGAGTGGAAGAAGTGTTCTTGGAAGTGGTGCACTGCACCCAACCCCGCTCAGACACTGAAGTCTATATAACTTCAAACTTCCCATCTTCCCCTCAGATCTCTAAAGATGTGCAGTGCTGGCCAGGGCATGAGACTGGAAGGGTGATGGAGTCTCGAAGGGAACACCTACTTGCTGGGATCTGGCATCTGACTACACACGGCCCGGAGGTACTGGAAGCTGTTCCGGATGGCATGGATGTTGGCCATTCCCATAAACACGACCTCACAGTTAGGATAGTACTCTGTAGACCGGAGAGGAAAGTAGAACATGCAAATCTGTCCTGGAAACAACCACTTAAGAGCAGTTCCCATGCACAGAGCTCCCCTGGAAGGACAGAACACTCCAGTATGGCAACATAGTAAACATACTCTTAGACTCTGAATTGCCCCTTTACCTCTGGATAGCCAAGTGCCACTACTCAAACAGTAACTCAAACACTATGTTCATAGCAGCAGCACCAGGGATAAATATATAAATTCTCAACAAGTGGTAGCTGCTCTGAGCCAACAATCTTCTCTATCTGAGTGCTAATCATTCTGACAACCTCTCAAGGTATGAATCATCCTTATTTTACAGATGAGAAAATAAAACTCATGGGGTAACTTATACTTCACAACCAAGGTAGGAAGTGGCAGAGCCCTGGATCCAAGCAGATTTATTTGGCTCTTTCAAATCCTCAAGCTGCCCTCAACTCCCTCCTCACCAGCGCTGCCCCAGAGCCCTGACTGCAGACACGAGTGATCACAGTACCTTCACACTCACAGCCGCCACCCTTGGCCCGGTTAGCCACCGCTGCTGTGTAGGACCGTGCATCCAGGATCAGCAGTTTTTGAGGGGCTGCTGTGCTCTCCACCCCAGAGCATGCAGTTAGAGAAGAATCTAAATACACAGCAGGAAGAAGACTCAGGCTCAACTAGTCACGCCACAGGATGCTAGTCTTGGAGTACTCCAGTTCAGAAGAAAGGAACCGCCTTTCAGGCTCCTCAGACCTCCACCTCCCATAAGGCAGGGCCTCAGAGGCTAGCAGGGGGCCTATAACTGGGGGGACGAGCACCACCCAAGCCTTACCGAAATCAGTGTCACATGCCTCACTGGCATCACTGGTCCCAGTGCTGAGGGAGGCCCCACTGGTCCTTGTCCCAGGGTCTAAGGCGCAAGCTTTGGCAATAGATGTGACCAGGTATTCATCATCAGCATTGCGCCAGCCCCACCAGCTGATCTCAGGCTGGCTGCAGCGGGCGATGGCAGCCCCATTGCGCAGGTGTCTGATAAAACAGAAGAAACCATAATGTTGTTGGTATTCCAAGCTTCCAGAAGCTTACCGCAGAGACCTCACAGGGCCGACCACGGTCTCCAGAGCCAGCAAGGGCTACCGGCACACCCAGGCCATGTAAATAACTACCAAAGCCTTCACAGCGCTAGAGTACATTTTTTTCTGAAATGACTCTGGTATTCCCACTACGACCTTGACTCATCAAATCTGCACAGCACCTGCTCCAGGTTAAAATATGCTCCAAGAGGACAAGCCTGAGTTAAGAACATAAACCATTCCAAACCTCATGATTACAATTTATCTTAGTCTATATTTGTTGAGACAGGATCTCATTATGTAGCCCCAGCTAGCCCGGAGCACACTGGATAGACCAGGCTAGCTTCAAATTCACAGCGATCCACCTGCCTTTATCTCCAGAGTGCTGGAATTAAACGTGTGTGTCATCATACGAAGCTTATTTACTTACATTCTGATATAGGAACTGACCAACTTTCCACTAGCGAACCAGCCAAAATTTCTGACTTTGTAAGTCACAGGCAACCTCTGCCATGTATTAATTAATAACCCCCAAGCAGGACATGCTGGTACAATACCTGCAACTCCAGCACTCGTGAGAGGCAAGAGAATGGCTAGCAGAAAGATACTTGGACGCCTAGTGAAACCATATCTTTAAAAAAAGAAAAATCTTAACCTCATAAAAGAAGGTACAGGCCTGATTTGGTCTTCAGGCCAGCTTGCCAACCTCTTAGTAAATACATTATTTTACACATAAACTAAGGGAAAAGGGGAAAAAAATCTTAAAACCTTAAAGCTTTAATCTTTGGGTAGGAAAAAAAAATCTGAGATTGTACCTAAGGTTCTTTTTTTTTTTTCTTTTTAAAATTATTTCTGTCCCCTCCCCCACTTTCTTGCTTTTTAAGACAGGGTTTCTCTGGCTGTGCTGGAACTCACAGAGATCCACCTGCCTCTTGAGTGCTGGGATTAAAGACATGCAGCATCACATCCGGCAAACCACAGGTTTTAATTTCTAGCTGCATAAAAGGTGGCCTCCTACTTTCTGTCCCATCCTGTCTCACCTGTACACGACAACAGGGATGCGTTTCCAAGACCGGAAAGAAGCCACATTCTCCAGCTCTTTATCTGTGATCCACACAGGAACCAGCAGCTTCTGGGGGTAACTAGGGCACAGTCTGAGAAAAGATGGGGGAAGGGTGTCCTGATCTAAATATGGGATAACAATCCCAAGGGATGTCTTTGAGACAACAGGTACAATATAGGTCCTCCTCCCTCATGGGCTCAGAAGTTATAGCCAGTATGTTTAATCTAAACATAGAGAGTTCAGACATGGACTGCGTTTTAGACCCAAGCCCTGCACCCTCACTTGTAATTGCTGTTGATATCCGAGACTCTCCAGACGTTCTGCAGGTCAAAGCCCATCCTGGCAAGCTCTGCCTCCTGTCGACATCGGATGTGCTCTCCTGCAACACAGGAGAGCCTGTCAGCGTCCCAGACCACCAGTATCCAGGGGTGGAGGAGGGATGAGAATTGTGGGCTAAGAAGCAGATTCCCCAAGAAAATGGCCTGGCCTCACCTGGCTGACACAGGTGGGTATGCTGATCCTCCTCGGTCAGTCCCAGGCACCAGGCATGGTAGGCAAAGGCAAAGAGATCCTCGGGCTTGGCAGGTCTTGCTGTGGCCCGGCTTAGCCTCGAGAGCCACTCTTGGCACTGCTTGAAAGTGGAGAAGTGGCACCTGCCAGGCAAGAAGCCACGGGCTTGGATGAGGCAAGGGATAGATATGCCATGGGATCAAGAACATAAAGACTGAGGAAAGGAAGCTACAAAGCAGGAGGTAAGGAAACACTGACCCTGGGAGTAGAGGAGGAGACACTGGCCATCTGAAATAAGTTGTCTCTTGCGACAATTCTCTTCCCACGAGCATCTATGTTTACACACATGCTCTGATGAACTCTGCCATGTCTCACACCTGACCTTCTGGCCACGCTACCAGTGTCCCCCCATGAGGCCACCGAGGTCCTGCTCTTTCTTTCCTTCCTCGTTCTTTCTCTTAATAATGTCTCCTCTGCCTAGCCACACCCTACTCAAGTTTTAGAGTTTCAGTCCTACCTCTTCCTTGAAGCCCCCCCCCAGCCTCCCCCATGCCACAGAGTCTCTCCTCTCGACCAAATGAGCCTGGAGTGTGAGCAGGAAGTTCTCAGCACCTTCATGTTAAGTTTGCCTAAGCAACTTTAGTTTTCATAAAGGAAAAGAGCAATATGGATTCTATGAGTCTGCACAGAAGGCCCTGACCTAGGCTTCCTTCTCAATGCTGGGTCAGCCCAGTCCCCTTTGCTCTATAGCCAACTCATATAAGTGCAGTCACCTCAACCCTCAGAGCACAGTCAGAACCTGACCACTCCTTATTTTGGCGAGGCACCACCGCCTCTCGCCTGAGTCAACTGTGGCAGCTTCCTAACCTCAGCCTTGGCTTTTGTCCCCATTTTCTTCTACTTGGCTTCAATGTAACAGCTAGAGTGAGCCCATTGCATTTGAGCCCTTTGCTCAAAATCCCCCACGGGTTTCTCAGCTTCCCTAAAGTGAAAGCCAATCCCAGTCACCGTAACCTCTGGCCCTTCTCTCATGCCTCACGCCCGCTACCCTCACCCGTTGGCACTCCTTCCAGCCACACCAGCACCTTGCCATTCTTCTGATCTGCAGACATGGGTACACACCCACTTCAGGACCTTTGCACTGCACCTGCCCTTTGGCATATCTTTCCTCAAATACCTGCTCAGTCACTTTCCTCGGGTTCTGACTCAAACACAAACACACGTTATCTATGCAATTTTATCTGGTTACTTCTTTAGAGCTATAAGACACTAAAGCCTTTCTTGATTTTATTTTTAGCTTTACACTTATCATTATTTAAAGTATTTCATTTATCTATTATTAGTCCCTGCCCCCTAGAATATCTTTAGGGCAGAAATTTTTGTGAGCTCTTTGATATATATATGCATTACCTAAACTGTGTGATACACTCTGCTCAATAAACTAATGTTACTTAAAAGAAATCCCTGTGGCAGATGCTGCCGCAGGTGCTCATACACATTACCCCGAGCAAACCTCATGATGGCTCCATCAGCTAAATATCACCCCCCATTTTATTTCAGGTCAAGACAGAATGGGTTAGCAAGTTGACCTTCCAACTAAGAATGGAGAAACAAACTGTCACCTCCTCCTCCAATGGAAAAAGTGAAGCGGCATCTTTCCTCTCTTGCTCCAAAGGTGCCCTGCAGTAGAGAAGTCTGCACAAGATTCGGGTCAGAGCACGTGAGTGGGGCCCCCTGTGCTCACCTCACCACTTTGGAGTCCTTGCAGGCAATGTGCAACTGGAACATATCACGACTTTCCACACTGTCAATCATCCGGAGGGGCACCTGCAGAGGGAGAGCAGGCTGAGGCTTAGATACACCCTAGTCTGGAAGGTGATGTGCCAGTGGAAAGAAGGGAGCCAGCATCTGCTGAGGGTCTATTAGGGGCCTGGTAACTATGCCAGGTGCTTCACATATGTAACCAGTTAATACCATAATAATCCTGAAGGCAGGTGATTTTATTCAATAAGGAGAACATCATCACTTGTCCAAGGTGACAGAGAAGTGGCAGTACAAGATAAAAGGGCCAAATTTGCCTGGTTCCAAAGTCCATGCTCTTCTATTAATGCCACTGTTACCACATTCCTCTAAAAGGCTACACAGGGTGCTAGGGAGGTAGCTCAATGGTCAGGAGCACTTGCTGCTCTTGCAGCAGACCTGGGTTCAGTTCCCAGCACCCACACAGTTGCTCACAACCTCCTGTAACTCCGGTTTGATACCCTCATCTGGTCTCCTCAGGCTCTAGGCACACACCCGGTGCATATACGTACATGCATGCAGGCATTCACAAATAAATATACAATGAAAAAAAAGCTTTAACGGAGGTGGGGCCAAAACAGGATAAAAGAAAGAAAGGGAGGAAGAGAGACAGACAAACCTGCACACAGAGGAATGAAGCAAGAAATACTAAAGCCAACGAGAACGGAATCCCAACAGTTTTTAGAGACACAAACAGGTAGAGAATCGGAACCAAACCTTTGCAGTCCAAAGGGACCCCACCTTTGGTGTGAGGCAAGTAAGTCAAGAACTTACGTTGATGACAGAGTCTTTGAACTTGATATGCAGCCGGTAGTTGGAGATGGCAATAAGGGCATCAGCTGCCCGGCCCAGGAATTCCACTCCCTCACCCTGTAGCACTGTGAAGGGTACCTGTCAAAGTCAGAGAAACCCTCAGTCCAGAATCAAGTCTCTCCCTTGTTTCTCTCTGGAGTCCCTGCTCCCTCCAGCCCCTCAGACAAAGGTAGACAATGCGGGAGAGTCATCAGCCAGCCCAGGAAACCTGACTCTCCTTCCCTAGCCAAAGGCTCCAATAATGCACAGATCAACAAATACACACATCCACTCCCTTTGGAGGCCTAGGAGGAGGAAGCCAAGCTCTGGTAGATCCACTAAAGATTTGGGATGTCTAAAGCACTAACCGGGCAGGAAGCAAACCCCTCCCTCCCTGAGCCTCCTATTCCTCCTTACCTGAAGATTCTCCTCCTCCTTCACAAGTTCCTTGGGGGGGAACAAATCCTTGGCTTGGATGTACTCCAGGCTGGGGGGCCCCTCCTCACCCTGCAGGGAGGCCATAACCTTGAGTTGTCAGACCCCACCTGGCTCCTGAGGCTTGTTCACTTTCCTCCTCTCCCACAAACCTAGAGACACCCTCCACACCAGATATTTAAAGGTTCTGCTTCCTAGAAGACAGAAAGGAGTCTGGGCTGGGCAGGGGGCAGGGTGACTAGAGAGTTCTCGGGGGAAACACGAAGTTAGCCAAGGAGGCCTTGGGAATCTGTACGGTTTACAGAGACTTCTTAAAACCAACATTGCAAAAACTGCAAGGAAGGGGGGAACGAAGGGAGACAAGAGGACTGGGAAAGAGACACCTGAGGAACAGGAGCCAGGTGTGGAGGCTGGCTAGAGGGAGAAAGGAAACCAGGCCCCACCAGCCACTTAAGCACCAACCTGGTGGGTGGAGACAAAGAGAAGGTTGGGGGGATTCAGTCTCGTGCCTCTAGAGGGCTTTGTGAGTGCCTTCAAAAAGGAAGATGTGTTTTGGAGCTGAGCTTATCTTCCCATTGGGCTCGTGCTGCTGACAAGCCCCTACTACCTGCCAAGTGCCAAGCAACCGACTGCCTGCTGATCTGAGGGGAATTCCAAAGGAATACCCATAGCAGGCAGAAGTCACTCTGCTCCCAACTACCAAGGGAGGGGAAAAGAGAGAATCCACACTCAGGAAGGAAGCAGGAGACCCAAGGACAGCCAGGGGAGAGAGGAGGCCTGGCAGACACCTCGTGGGGGGGGGAGCTGGGGGGGACACGACATCTGAGAGGACAGATGGGGGAGGCTGGGAAGGAACATTAGCCAGAGAGGAGGAGGGGAAGCCTGGGAATGATTCAGAGATACAGAACACTGCAGAGGGAGGGAAGATGGAGAAAAGAGGCTGTCTGGGGGACAGTCAAGGAGAAAAGACTGGTATGTCAGGTGAACCGAGTGTGTGAGGGGGAGGGGACTGGAGACCTCGAGATAGCTCCTCCTTCAGCCCCCTAACATCCCACACAGCCTACTAGATACATCCTACATCCCCAAGCAAGGATGTAGCGGGTGGGATCAAGATGGAGAGGAGGTACTGGGATGTACCCCTGCAGGGCGGGGCCTGAAAATCTGCAGTCAAGGGCAGTGGCTGCAGAGCCAGAAAGAATCACAGAATTTTCATCTCCGGCCCTCTACAATCCCCAGTACCCGCTTTCTTGAAGCAGGTCCGAGAAAGAAAAGAGCTAACCCATCTCCCCGTCCCTATGGTTTGGGGTCGTGCCGGGATCTTGGGCGGGGTTGTGGGTATAGCATGCGTTGAGTGCTCCCCCAACCCCCGCCCCAGGCCCTGGCAGAACAGGCCTGGCACTTACGAAGCAGCTAAGCATGGAGCAGGAGACGCGGGCGGTCAGGCTCATGGTCGCGGGCTGTCTAGGCCAGCGCACATGTCCCCGGAGCTGCTGCGCTGCCCACCAGCCCCGAGCGCCCGCTGCATCCCGGCTGCGGGGCCCGCCTGATGCAGCCGCGGCCAGAAGCGAGCGCCCTGGCGCCAGGACCCAGCCTCTGCTCCCGCGCGCCTCTCCCCTCCTCTCCACAACGGAGCGGGCCCGGCTCCGCCCTCCGGCAAGAGCGCGGAAGGGAGGGGAGCCCAACGACAGGAGCGCCCAGGACGCCCCGGCGAGGTGGAGGCGGAGGCGGAGCTGCTCTTGGGGCCCCGCCCGCCGCCCTGGCTCCTCCCACCCCGCAGGCCCTGGGCGGCTGGGGGCCACAACCCCCGGGAACTCTAGGGACATTCTAGAGTGGGCCGAGGGACTGCCCTGGGACTGCTCAGAAAGGGGAACCGAGTTCGCCCACACCTTTTCATTTCCCATTTTTCCAGGTGTGCTACCCTACACCCTTCTTGTCACACAACACTTCCCACCTCTATGCTTGCTGCGGATCCCAAGACGGAGCTCACCCCAAGGTCTTTACAGTCCAAAGCCGTCCTTCTTTCCCTCCGAAAGTAGCGCCCACCTAGGCTCGGTTCACTGGCCTCCTCCACTACCTGCTTTCACTAAACTCTTGTCCTCTGAAGAGAATATTGGTCTAGTGTCATCTTAGTGGTCACTCCACATTTCTGTAAGGGGAACCCTTTTTATTTTATGGTTCTCCTTTAGTCCCGTCTCTCCTTTGATTCGGACGCCCTGGTCAATGGAAAAGAACAGCCTACTGGAAGAATGTCTTAGTCAGAGAGAAGAACCGGGATTATGGATCACCGAGGCTATGGAAAAACAAAACTCAGAACTCAGGAGTAGAGAGAATGAATGGAGTTGAGTGGTGAGCCAAGGAACAAGGAGTAGTAAGTGATAACGGACTTAGTGTTTCCAAAAGTAGCGTGAGGAGCTTGCTAGAATTCTTACACTTCCGGTACCTGGTAACGTTCAGAAACGAGGACTTTGTCTGGGGGAACCGGGATGAATAGAAAAACCGGACATTTTTATTAAGTACTTACAATAATGTCCAGCAGTGTCAAATATGACCCCAACTCTCCAAAAACTAAACCTCCATCCCGTTTCCCTGGTGAGACTTTTAGGCTTCCAGGATAGGGAGAGTGAGATTCACCTAAGTTATTAAGTGGCAGTGCTAGAGTAAGGAGCCGAGGCTGACCCTGAGGTGCATCCTCTTCAGTGTACGACTGAAAAGAAAGAGATGAGGTATCAATTGGTGGGAGCAGGAGCAGAGGAAGGCTTTCCGAAAAGAGCCTGCGTTAACTGAACTCATTAACCTGGACTCCTGAAAGAAAGACGGAGGAGGCGTGGAGCCAAAGGGCGAGAACGGTCTAGAAAAGGCTGCCCACACCTCTTCCTCGGCTGTAGAAGTCCTAGCTCTCGGGAAGTTAAGGAATTCCCTCCGCTTGGGAATTTCTCAGGGTTGTACCGCTCCACGCAGTGATATTCTGATGCCGCCTAGGAGATACAGCACCTGGGACCCAGAAAAGGCCGACAACCTGGGCGGAGTCTCTCTGGCACAGCACCAACAATATATTCATGAGACTCACTAGAAGTTCAGGGATCTGACTTTTTTAAAAAAAAAAAAAGCCATAGGGCCTTTCTATATAGTCCTGGAACTCACAACACAGGCCTGGCTGACCTTGAATTCATAGAGATTCACCCGCCTCTGCCCCCAAGTGCTGGAATTAAGAGCCTGTGCCACCGCACCCTGAAGTTTAGAAATCTTAAGATAAGAAAAACTTGGTTGGCTTTTTTTTTTTAAGACCGGAATATGGAGAGATTTAACCAGGAACCCAAGAAGAGCAAGAAGAGGTACAGTGTGTTAGTATAGGGAAGGCATGACATAACACATACAGAGTAAAACCGTAAGTTGCTCAGCCCATTGCTGTGTACTGCCTGTTTTTTTTTTTCCAGTCCTAAGGAACAGTAAGCTAGATACATAACTCAGCATGAACAGTACTTGCCTACCATGTGCAAGGCCCAACACCGCATTCACCCATAATACTAGCACTTGGAAGACGGAGGCTGGAGGGTTGCCACACGTTCAAGACCAGCCTGGATTACATTTTTAGTATCAGGTTAGCCAAGGCTTTATAGCAAGAATCTATCTCGAAACAACACCCACCACAAAAAAAAAAAAAAGAAAGAAAGAAAGAAAGAAAGAAAGGGAAAAAAGGTTAAAGAAAGAAAGAAAGAAAGAAAGAAAGAAAGGTAAAAAGAAAAAAGAAACAATTTATCAGGTCGGATGAACCTGTTTAGAGGCAAACCGAGTACCCTGGAGCGCTAGGGCCGAGAGAGGTGGGGCAGCTTCCCAGAGACAGACCTGAGGATTACACACAGCAGTATGAGGAAATGGGAGTACTCACCATTCTACCTCGGGGAGGGTCCTGGCAGCCTGCTCGTCACTAAAGGAGACAGAACACAAGAGCGAAGAGCACCATTAACATCACCAGGGAGTCAACAAATGTCACAGGTGTACCCCTGACCTTCTCCACGACTCCTCCTGTGTCACAGAGGGACCCAGCCCCTCGACAAGCCACCACACCAAATCGGGCGATGGGAGAAGCAACAAGTTGGTCTCGTGCAGAGTGAAGTGACCCTGCGCGGTGGGGAGGCCACCCCTAAAGTTTAGGAGCAGGAATAAGTATCATCCACGTTTACTCAGCAGAGCTCAATGGTTCTGATTCCACACCCAGAAGTAGAACACTGCAAACCCTGCTCTTTACAAAAGACAAGAAATGCCAACTCTGAAGAGACAAACTGCCCAACTGGGACTCACTTTTAGCCCGGGTAGGGGCATGAATCCACAGGGCTGCTCGGCCAGTCTGACTCTAGGAGTACACCCACCTGACCTATGACTGGGGGCAGAGTCCAGAGCAGAGGACAAGAGAGAGAGGGACCACAACCTGTGATAAAGAGCAGCAGGGTTGGCCCGGTCCTGCTGAGCATACTCGCCACCAAGTAGACGGAAGGTTAGAGGGAGGAGCTCACACAGCAGGAGCAGAATCGGGCCAGCCCCGCCAAGGAGTCAACATCTGTCAAATGGGTCGAATTAGCAAGTATTTCAAGTGAAGGCCTTCTGGGCCCACTTAGGGAGCCAGGCCTGAGTTTCACTGATACTCCTTCATGCTTGGTATGCCCAGGGGGTGTGCAGCTGAGTCCCACAGGAGGCGACAGCGATTAAAGCCTCCATTGTGATCCTACCAACCTTCCCTCCCTCACGGGGGAGCCCGCAAGCGGCCAGCCGGAGGTGCTGCCTCACGGCTCACTGGCACGCGGCCTGAGAAATGGAGAGAGGAAGGGAGCGCCAAGGACCAGGCCTAGGATGCCCAGGCTTTCCTCAGTTAGGGAATCTGGTCTTGGGGTAGGGGGGACGGATCAGGCTGGCAGGGGATCCCAGGTGCCCAGGTTCTAGGGGCGGGGCTACAGGCTCGGAGGCGGAGCCCCAAATGACAGAGGGCGGGACTCAAGAGAGTCGGTGAGGGCCGGGCAGGACTCGGTCGTTGTGGTTCCCAGGCTGGCAGTGCACGGGGTACAGTGACTCACCCAGGCGGCGTCCGCCCGACCCTCCAAAGCCGCGCTCTCACCACTTCCGTCTCCCGCAGCTGCTGAGGCCGCGCAGCTCGAACCCCACCACGGTCCTTTCTCCCCAGCCAATCGGATCTCTAGCCTGTACCCGCCCTGGCCAATGGCCACACGGAGTTCCGCCCTGCCTTACCACGCAGCCGCCGCCCTCACTCTCCACGCCGTTCACTGGTCCAGTGGGCAGACGCCCTCTCAGCCTGTAACCTATCCGGCACCCAGAGACCAGACAGTACCTGGAGGGTGGCGGCTTGGCGCCAGAAGACAGACGCGACCAATAGGAAATCACAGCGCGTCCCTATGGCGGCCAATGGGAGAGGAGTAAGAGGGGTTGCGGACTACGGTTCCGGGGACAGGAAGTACGGCGGCCCCGTCGCCTACTGGTAGCGCAACTGGAGGGCGGGACAATGCAGGGTAGGGTTTGCTGTCACTTCCGGTGACGACCGAACCCTAGAAGGTAGTTTTCGAATGACTTCACGGTGGCTCAGCGTTTTAATTCAGCCGTGTTTCTGTTTCGCTCCAGGAATGCAAGAATGGGAGAAAAGCATGCCGGCTAGGAAAGGGGAAGGACTAGATTTTATTTCATGTCCCTTCCCAATGCTCCATTGCTCCCTTGTTTTTCATCCCCCGGTCGATGGAAAAGAAAATTCTTCTGGAAAAATGTCTCAATCCGCGAAAGAAAAGAGCTGTGTTTGTGGACCGCTGAAGCTTCGGAAAAGCAAAACTTGAAAGACCCTTCTAGAAGGCTAGGAATAAGCTCTCTCATTGGCGGCGCTGGCGTTTCCTCTTGTGTGTCTGGACAGGTTCTTATAACCTCTGATTTTTATCGACAACCGGCCTTGCAATCCTTTACTGACCTATATTGGCCGCCAGTCTGACGGCGGTTTCCTAGTCGGTAAAAGGGGTGGAGGCACCGGGAGCCAGCCACAGGACGGAGGTGACCGCTGGAGGTCCCCGTGACGTGCTACTACTAACCAAACAGAAATGGAGAGTCCGATTCTCAACAGATTGTCTGAATGGGTCTGAGCACTTGGATATCAGGCTAGTGTTCTCACAGGTCTTAGTTTATGAAGTACTGGAACTTTTAGTACAGTTAAAAGTCATAGGGAAACAGAAACCTCTCCTGAGTTCACTGTTCCAGAACCAGGATCTGCAACCTAGGGAAAGCTTAAACCTGAACTCCTTGGGGGACAAGGATGTGTTTTTTTTCTGTCCCAGCACTTACAGTCTTTAGTTACAGGACCTTCCGCATTTGTTCAGTGCTCAACCAAAAGCTTCCTGGAATTTAGAGCTCAATTCTGCATAGCTATCCAAATTGGGGGTGGGGGGAGCACACGAAGTTGGAGGTTGCCATGTAGTTAATAACCTTGTTTTCCCAAGAGCCGCTACAAAATGAAGGTATTGTATGCAGGAAGCATGGAGGCTTGGCGCCCAGATAATGGAGGCAGAAGAGAAATGGTCAATAGAGCAAGCTGTATGTAAGCAGAGTAAACGCTGTAAGGGAAGGGAAAACTTCCCCTCTTTCCGTTTCCTACTAAAAACCAGAGACCAGTGTCGTCCGCCTTTCAAACAGACTTATAGCAGCTCTGCTTCCAGGAGATGGTAAAGATACAGAGACACCCAATGCCACGGATAGATTAAAGTTTATTTCCTCTGAGTCTCTGAGAGGTCGGCAGGGATATAAGGCGAAGTGGTCGTAGCTGCAGGGGCCTGAGCAGAGCTGGTGCTGGGAGGGACTGGCATGGGCAGGAAGAAGAGATTTAAATATTCAGGTCCAAAAGCCAGTTAGTGAGTCTCCTTCATCTGTCTTTGGATTTTGTGTAGCATCTCCTGCATCCGCCGCAGCTGAAATAGGCACATACATCAAAACAAGGTGCTTGACAGGGAGAGCCTTACTGTATTGGAGATGTGTCCCCAGATTCTAATCCCTTGAGTCTGGGGCCTTGGTAGCCCTTATATATGACGGAAATGGCGGAACCACTCAGCATCCCACATATATACCAGAGCCAGGGGTCTCTATTCCCAAGCCAAGGGCTACTGAGAATTATCGAACGGGACTTCCCAGGCTGACAGCCACAACATAGTGCTCTCACCTCTTCATCTTTCTCTCGGATTAGCTTCTCAGTTTCTGGATCTGTCCCTGGTGGGACAGCAGGGATAGGGAAGTCAGTACCACTCTCTCTTGTCAGTTTGCTGAAGGGAGGGGGAAAGGAGGGTAGTAAGGTTGGGGAAACCCCAGCACCAACTTGAGTGAAGCCTGGGGCCTGTAGAGTAATAAGGGGAGGACTTGGGGTTCCCCTGGCCAGCTCTGTCCTGGCTGCCGGTCATACTTGCGATTCCGTTCCTTTACTACTAGGCGGGTCATGCTCTGGATGCACTGGGCCCTGTAGTTCTCATAGTGTGTCTCTCGGGTCACATCCTTCAGGTCCTGCATGTGGGTACGCACCAGCATTGTCCGCAACTTCACAAAGTCGCAGTGACCCGGGTTTTCCACTGTATAGCAAGGCTAGGAGTCAGTCCGGGTCATGGGTAAAGAAGAGCCCCTAAGGGCAAGGATACTCTGGTCACAAGCTCAGAGCTTTACCTTCTACTATGCCCCAAGGGTAGAGCCGGCCCCGAACTCTCCGCCCTCTGGCTTCTACCACAGTGTTGCTGCCAATCACCGCAAATGGGATGCTTTCCTAAAAGAAGTTATGGTTGCTGGTCAGCATCCATGTTCTCACCTGTCCTTTCTTTCCACTTGTATCTCCTGCTGTGCTCTAAGAAGACGGTCCTCTTCCACCCCAACACTCTGTCCTTATATAGAATTCTACTCCCCTCTTCTGCCCAGCAGAAACAAGATAGGAAAGGGTGCCCTAGGGTGGCCCAACCTTTAGGGCTTGGTCCTGTAATTTGAAGTCCTCATCCTCATCAGAATCACAGTCTGGGAACTGATAGATCTTGATTCCAAAGTGCTCAATCTCCTCCCGGATCTGGCAAACAGATGAGGGGTCCACAGTTCTGGGTACCCCATCTTTTCTAGAAGCCCACCTGATTCCCTCCCTCCATCAGTTCCCCTCACTTTGCATTTCTTTCGGTCCACTTCAGAAGGCGTCAGTGTATCTGCCTTAGCCAAGATAGGCACAATGTTGACCCGCTGATGCAGGGCCTTCATGAACTCAACATCCAATGGCCGGAGCCTGGGGAACAGGAATCTGTGACCACCTACTAGTGGTAGCCCTGCCTGCGGTGCTCTCGGCCTGTTCCCTTAGCAGAACCCTGTGGTGCCAGGAGCCTCAGGCTCAGACCATACCCGTGGCCGAAGGGCGAGATGAAGTAGAGGCAGCAGTGCACCCGGTTGTCTTGGATGTTCTTGCGATTCAGGCCACTCTCATCTCGGAAATACTGCTCAAACTGCTGGTCGATGTATTCCGCCACAGGCTTCCAGCTGGGGCAAGGACAGACAAGCAGAGACACTGTGGGAGTGGGGGCTTCCTGGTGAACTCTGGCTTGAGCCCTGGTTCACTCTGGCTTTCTCTACTACTCTTTCGGGGAACAACCTGGGTAGGATGGGAGTAGTTTACATCTTGATAGAAAATCAGACTGGTCACACAGGCAGTTCAATACATAGTAGTTTGATGAGGAAAAAGGAGCTGAAGGGTGACCAGGCAAAGAAGTAAGAATCGCGAAGTGGCAGCATGTGACTACCAGGTAGAAACCAGGGGTACCCTAAGTCAAGTTCACAGTCTGGCCTCAGAGCCTTTGCCTCTCCAACCCTCCTCGTCCCTACCCAAGACCCGGTTCTTCCATGCATGCTGCTTTGACGAGAGCAGCATGCACGGCTTGCTGCAGCAGCCATGTGTCTATCACCACACACGGTCGCTGCACTCTGCAGCCATATGTATATCACTCCACACAGCCAACCACCACGAAGCCATGTTGAACCCGTCAACTTTGAATCCAGAGATTTCATTTGTCCCACAAGATGATAATTGAGCTAAAGGAACACTGCCATCATAACATCATGGCACCTAGGTGTTACATGTGTTGTCACACATGTAAAACTACAGCACACAGATGTGATGAGAGAACTCGGCTCGTAGGAATGCTTGCCACTCAAACCTGGTGACCTATGTTCAGTCCCAGGACACAAACACACACCATGCACACCGACAGTAAGTTTATAAAAAAAGTACAGCACACAAATCGATATCAGTAATCACAACTGGCTATCACTTGATTCACTACACTTTAGTGTATGCTTTCTACTTATAAGAAATGTTTATTGTAGCTGGGCAGTGGTGGCACATGCCTTTAATCCCAGCACTTGGGAGGCAGAGGCAGGCAGATCTTTGTGAGTTCGAGGCCAGCCTGGTCCACAAGAGCTAGTTCCAAAGCTGCAGAGAGAAACCCTGTCATGAAAAGAGAGAAAGAGATGTTTATCATAAAGCAATGGCTGTGTTATGCCAGCGGCAGCCTCGTCCGTCTTCTAGTCAGTCTATTGCCCTAGAGAGGCCGTGTCCAGTAACTGATCTATGGCATCTGGGCATGCGTTAGTACACTCTGGGATGTTCATACAATGATGAAATCACCTAGTGATGTGTTTCTCAGAATCTGTCCCCCTCCCCATGTAAGTGTCTGTTTTGACAACTTCAGTTTTCAGGTCTTTTGCTCTTCTGCTATCTAGTTTAATCCTCATTGCCATGGTATCAACGTTGAGCTCAGCACTCTTATTTTTAAATCTCATAAATCTGAATCCTCTGAAAGACCTGCTCCAGATTATTTGGCTAGTAAGTTCTTTATCACTAGAGTCCCTGGCTTTGGCTCCTAGCTCAGTGTCAGCGACTACACATGGCCGGACCCACTCATGTTTTATGTGATGGACACAACTTGTTACAAAATGGCTCTCTCTGCTCCTCCACTACCACCAGACTGTATGCATCTCAGGGATGAAGACTTTATTTGCTCTGCATCCCTTAAAATGTCCATCTGGTAGGTTAACTAAATTAGTATCTATGGAGGTACACTATAAACAGGAAAGTACAATTACCTGGAAACGATTATTACTGCAAGGGAATTCTTACTGAAATGGAAATTATTTATTAAAAGTAAAAGGGAGTAAGTTGATTGAAAGTGGTACCTGCTGGCCAGGCAGTAGTGGCGCACATCTTTAATCCCAGCACTCGGGAAGCAGAGGCAGGCAGATCTCTGAATCTGAGGCCATCCTGGTTCCAAGTTCCAAGACTGTTACATAGAGAAATCTGTCTCGGGAAGCCAAAACAAACAAACAAGTGGTCCTGCTACAGTAGAGACCAGGTACTGGTTGGAATTAGAATTTCGGGACATGCTGTCTGCTGAGATACACTGCTGGGACAGGAAAGGAAAGAGGGTGGCAGTATAGCATCTCCTCGGTCCATCAGAAACATTGACAGAGACCACAAGCCCATGTACCACTAATCAGCACAGGCTGTATCAAGAATGTAAGAGATGGCCATCCAGTCAAGGCTTAGACAAAGGCTGATGATGAACCAGTTATCTGTGAGGACAGCCACATGTAGCAATAAAGCAGGTGATGAGGTCTTAGACATGTCTGTGAGACAGCTATCTAGAGTGAGCATCATGGGTATATAGCCTGTGTAGTCACAGGAATCTGCACTCAGGAAGACTACACTTGGCCTGATGCTGTTCTTATATTGAAATTCTTGTAATTATGAACAAGGGGACCCACAAATCTTGTTGCTGGCCCTGAAGTTACTATTGCTAAAAATGCATAGGCATAATTCTGGGCTATTTT